TGTTTCTTCATCTCCTCCCCAAATCAACAAAATATAATCAATAAAGTGTTTCCAATATATTAAACCTGCTCTCTGTTTTGCATAAATGTGTTTTCCCTCCCATTGGGCTGTGAATAGAGCAAGACTGGGAGCAAATTTAACTCCCATTGCTACCCCCTTTGTTTGTAAATAGTATTATTTCCGATGCCAGAAGTAGTTTCCTCTCATAGAGAAGTCTAAACATTATAAAATCCATTTGTTCTTGCTTGAGATCACTATATGTAGGAACAGCCCACCTAGTGGCCTGTATTCCGAATGTATGCAGAATATATGTATCCAGTGACACAACATCTATTGTAACAAAGATGAAGTTGTCACTGTCTCCAAATCCCGCCAGGGAGTTTATTACATCTCTACTATCTATTGAAATGATTTTGTCTCAGTAACCATGGGCTGAAGAAAGAAGTCAACATATTCGCCCACCCTAGACAGAAGGGATCCAATCCCACTACCCATGGGTTGCCCGGGTGGGTTTTTTTTATTTTTGTGTATTTTGGGTAAGAAATATATAACAGGAATTCTACATACTGAGGGATTAGGTACCTTTGCTCTTTTTTTATTTAAAATATCAATCTGTAACCCTTTGTTAACTATTATTATTATTACAGGTATTTATAGAGCGCCGACAATTTACGCAGCACTTTACATAGTTGCACATTCACATCAGTCCCCACCCTCAAGGAGCTTACAATCTCACATGCACACATGGAGGGCCAACTTAGAGAGGAGCCAATTAACCTTCCAGCATGTCTTTGGCGCGTGGGAGGAAACTGCAGTACCCGGAGGAAACCCACGCAAGCACAGGGAGAACATGCAAACTCCTTGCAGATAGTGGCCGGGATTCGAACTGTGCTGCCCAACTATTCCTATCAGTTCTTTATTATATGTATCTGTGGGATTTCCTTTTAGTCTAATATAAGTTTCTTCTTCTGCTAGGATTCTCAGCATTTCTTCTTCATAATAATTCTTGTGCATGATAACCACCCCCTCCCCCCTTATCAGCAGGTCTTATAACAATATTATTTTTTTATTTTCCAGGCTCTTAATACCTTCACTAATAAATTCTTTATCCCTTCGTTTCTCTACCTTCAATTCTCTGACATCTCTTTCGACTAAGTTCTATAAAATGGGTTGAATTCATTTTTGGGTTGGTTGTAGAATTATTTTTCAGGGGTTTGTGTTTATACTCCTCCCTTATCCCTCCTTGGTTCACTCTCACATTTGGTCCATGTGACGAGGAGAAATATTGTTTTACATTTATTTTCCTTACGAACTTATTTAAATCTAAAAATAAATCAATTTTTAAAACTGTGGCAAATTTTAAACCAAGATCTACAACCTTTGTGTCAGGAACCGGATCTGACCTCTGCTGTAGCTGGCGGTGGTTCTACCTGCTGAGCCACCTTAGAACCTTGGATAGCTCCTTGCCTGATCTCCTGTGTAATCCTCAGGTAAACCTAGTTTCTGCTGAACTCTGAACTCCTTGCTCCTCCCCTGGAACTTCCTATTTTAGCCACGCCTCTCCACTTCCTGTTTGCCAGATTATTGTGCTCCTGCCAATATCTTGCTTCCTGCTCCCTCTGTGATACAATATGCTCATACTGCTACCCGTGTACCGACCTTTGGCTGCTGATTCACCGACTACTCTCATCATCTTCCACTTCTTACCTGATACCTTTGGCTCCTGACCTTGGCTTGTTCTCTGACTACGCTTCTGCCTGCTCCTCCACTACTACCGTCTGCTTGTGTACCAAACCCGGCCTGTTATACCGCAAATTTGCCTGCTGTTTCAGCTACTGGACACTGAGCCTTAACCCAGATCGTGACACTTTGGTTGCTGTAAGGTTTACCAAACTGATGTTAAAAATCCCTTCTCCTACCTCCCCCTTCTGTTTGCAAATCCCCCCCCCAACACCCCCACCCTCCCTCCGTTTCTTGGTGGTCCATATGGGGGGTTTTGCCACCTCTTGTTTTGTTCTCTCCCACCCATCCAATCTCTGTATCCTCTCCCTTGGTTGTGGGGTTTTTGTGGTGGCGTTGCTTTCCAAGTCCCCCAATCCCCTTCTCTCCCCAGGGGGTCGATTGTGATAACTCCCCTGAAAAAATTAAGGTTTTTGCCATTAACATTATACGGGGTCCTTTCATTCCTTTCAGGATTCCCCCATTCCTCATTTTCCACTTTCAGGGGATGGTATCTACGAGCGGTGGGAATATTATATTCCATTTCTCCTTCTCTTCTATTATATGGGGGGGGGGGGGTTGATGTCAAATCTTTTCCCTTCTCCTTAGGGTTCCCTCTCTCTCCCTGGTTAGTCTCTCTTTGTAATATATCTCTCCGTTGGATCCCTGATCATTTTCTCTTCTCCTCTTTTCGTGTAGAGGTTTCCAATGTACCCCAGTTTTGGGGATTGTTTCCTCCTCTCTTTCTTCCCCACTAGTTCCACTGACAATACTGTTACAACTCTCTATCATCTCCTCATTCAGTTGCCATCTATAAATGTTCTGGTTTCTATAATCCGATGTATCCCGTATATATTTTTTTTCTGTTTTTTAATGTCCTGATCTCTCTTTTTTAGGAAAATCTCCAACTCCTTTTTTAACACCTTCTTCAGAACCCATAAGTGGTTCTAATTTTCCTCTTAACATACAAATGTCAGCTTCTACCATCTCCAGTTTTCTTCTCTTTTTGTTAATAAGTAATTCCAACAATTTTTCTACACAATGTTTAAAGAAGGCTAACCACTCGATTTGGGATTCCCCATCTTTAAGTCCATCATTTGGGGGAACATCCCAAAGCAGACTTCTCGGTGTGATCCTCTCCTTCAAATACCTTTCGTGTGAGACTATATCCCACCATAACATCAATTGCTTCTCCAGTGTGTGTTTTAGCTATGGATGCACCGATACTTTTCAGATACCAGTGCCGGATACTTGGCATTTTCATGAAAACTCCCAGGGTTGCAGCGGTTGCAGCTGGCACCCGGCTCTGGCGCTCCACCACTGTCTTGAAATCATTAGTCTGTATTGTTTTAGAAAAACTATCACATGACACTACACAAAAATGTATCAGTACTCGTACTTGCAAAACTGGTATCGGTGCATCACTTATATATGTCTATAAAAACAAAATCATACATTATAACAGAGATGTAAAAATACCGGGAGCTCCGTGTGCTCCTTACAAATGACCGCGGCCTCCCAACTTTTGGATTTTTCTCTAGTCTAGTCTTGGAGATTGAAAAGTATATCTACTTGTATTGAGTATTGTACTTGGTATCGCTGCATCCCTAGTTTTAGTAATTTAAAATTACTGTGAAATTCATCCCCATTTCTTTTTTTTGTGCTAAAAATATAATCCGAATTGATATCCCTTTGGTGTACATAGTTACATGTATCCACAGCTGCAGTGGTCCGGGAACAGTTTGTGTATCTTTACTGGTGGAATAGTGTACTGTGTACCTAGCGTTCTCCAAATTCATCCACTCTTCTAGTTATGGTATCTAAGTGCACTGACACAGAAAGGGGCAATCTGTCTCTTCCGGCCTCTCCACCTCTCACCACCTTCCGGGGTATGTAATCTCTAACAATGAACTTTTCTTTTAGCCATTTTTTAAAATTAAGAATGTGAAATAAAGAATGTCGGGTCATCATTCCATAATATGAAGTTGATGTTCAGCTGGAAGAAAACCTTCTGAAGTATAATGCAGTGTTGTAAAGTGAACACGGATACATACACATCAGTCTCTTCACCAGAGGAACTTGCACGCTAGTCACACACTTTTATTATTATTATTATTATACATTTTTTAGAAGCACTTTATTAAACATAAATAATTAATTGATTATTAACAATGAAAATATAAATGACATAATGAATCAAGTTACTGAACATATCTCACCAGCTCATAGTGACATAAGCAGAAAGGGGGGTATTTGATTAACATGAACTCCATCCTCAGCGTCACCTCATTGGTGTGAAGACCTCTTACTGAAACACTTCAGGTCCCTTGGAAACCGAGCCCCTAGTGGGCCACAGCGACCACCAACCACCAGAGACGTCCATACCAATAGATGTGCCTCTTTTAATAATACCAGCTTGCTGAATTTGCAAGAGCAATAGACCTCCCTTACCACCAGGCTGCCAAGAAAAATATCCTGTCCACACCTAACAAATGCAAGGAAAACAGGGGTGAGCGTAGACAGGACAGCGTCTTGGCTCTGTGGAACTCTCTGGAATGGTGGTGCCTAGTCAAATCTCTGACAGCAACCCATGCCGCTCCTCCCTACCCAGCTGTCTGCTTTCTCAATGCAGGGTAAGCCTGACTAATTCACCTTTTTAACCCTTTCCTTGACCCAGTTCCTCACCCCCATCATGTGTTTCCTTCCCAACGTCAACTTTCTCTGGGACTCACTTCATTCTTCAACAATGAGAGAATCTGGGTTTACATGTGTTCAATGCTAAAGAAATAGTAGAAGCTCAAACAGGAAAAACCTCCAGAACAAGATTCACGTCCATGCATTGAAGAAAGCCATTTTGGATAGTTCCAAATTTACAAGGGAGATGATGTCTTGATTCCTCTATATAGATGTTTATTATAACTAGAGGGGTCCCCAGCAGGAGGAAGGAGGTCCTGATTCCTCTATATAGATCTTTATTATCACTAGAGGGATCTCCAGCAGGAGGAAGGAGGTCCTGATCCCTCTATATAGATCTTTATTATCACTAGAGGGATCTCCAGCAGGAGGAAGGAGGTCCTGATCCCTCTATATAGATCTTTATTATCACTAGAGGGATCCCCAGCAGGAGGAAGGAGGTCCTGATTCCTCCATATAGTTATTTAGTATCACCAGAGGGACCCACAGCAGGAGGAAGGAGGTTCTGATTCCTCTAAATAGATCTTTATTACAGAACAGCGTACATGTAGGAGAAATTGTTTATATTTTTGTCATTGGTGAACAGTTTACATGAAGGTGAACATTTTTCTCCAAGCTTCTCTGAGTTTGGGATTACCATTGATTAGGAGAATCGACTGAACCATTGAGAAAGAAAAAATAATCATCCAACACATCCAGTACCCCCAACTTTGATCTGCAAATATTCCCAGTCCAAATACAACCATGACAAGGTAAATCAAGGCATAGAGAACTATGAGACAGGCCATGTTCTGCACTGCACTCTGGTAATCTCTCACGTTGGTGTGACCCATGTTTCTTTTCATACGATCATTGTGCAGCTTGAGGGACACTGCACTGGCAGCTGTTGTGGATATTGCAATCAGGAGTGGTAGAGAAGTCACTGCAAGGACAACGTTCATGAATTTCAGCCTCAGTTTGTAAGGTTCTGAGGTCACATCGGTTGCAGTGATGGTTGAGTTTTTGTATAATCCCTGAGTGAAAATATATAATGCAATGAAACTTTCCAACAGAGAAGAGGTGATCGCAACGAATATCAACAGAGGTATCATTCTGTCTATCTTCATCTTCATCCATGCAAGAAATGAGGACTGGAACTGAAGGATTTTTATAGAATAGAAGAAGCACAGGTCAGCAGTGAGCCAGGAGCAGGAGGTAATGCTGCAAAATGTTAAATAGGTTAAAATGCCTGAGAAGTCGGTCACATTTGATGATGGCCAAAATATCTTCATCAGAATGTTTATAAACATCAAGATTGTGAAGCACATGTTGGAGACATTCAACACAACAAGGATATTGTTGTAGGGTGCAATATTTGTCCCTTTAAAACGGGAAATGAGGATATAAAATATTATAAAGCCATTCGAATACAAGCCAACGATGACCTCCAATGCTATGATACCGAGACAAACCTCAGAAACTGGGCTGTTCATTCTGTTCTGATGAAACACGAACCCTAGTATTCCCAAGAGGCCTCAAGAGTTTTGTGTGAGCAAGTGTTCCTCAGTTGTGTCTTCTTCAGAGAGATGTTCCATCTGCTTTAGACTCAAAGATCATCATGTTATCTACTCTTCAATGACCATGTAAATGACCCCTGAAGAATCCACTCATCAGATGTCAAAGCTTACTCACAACCATTATCATTTCCGTGACTATTTAAAACCAATGCCTCTAATAGATTGAATTTGAATACATGCAAAAGATTGAGCAATGAGCTGGAGAGATCGAATGACTGAATTCAAATACAGTATGCAGAGAACCATTAACCCGACGACTGTCATTCTATATTCTCTTCTTGCCTGTCTCCCTCTTGCTGATGTCATCACATACAATGCAGGACTGGTGGTTACCAATGTTCCTCCATTGCATGTGATGATTTTAGAGGACCCCTCCACATTCCAGGCAGGCATAAAGTGGGAGTATCAGCTGCCACAGGACGTTGGATCTGGATTTTATTTTTTAAAAGTGAGCTACAGAATTATTTACACTTAAAGTTCATAGATCAGTTCTTAGCATCTACGTTCCAATGAAAGCATAGGTTGGGTGGGGGAGAAGCTACACGATGGATTGTTGCACACAGTTACACAACAGCATACATGTAGGAGAAAATGTTTATATTTTTGTCATTGGGGAACAGTATATATAAAGATGAACATTTTTCTCCAAGCTTCCCTGAGTTTGGGATTACCATTGATTAGGAGAATGGACTGAACCATTGAGAAAGAAAAAATGATCATCAAACACATCCAGTACCCCCAACTTTGATCTGCAAATATTCCCAGTCCAAATACAACCATGACAAGGTAAATCAAGGCATAGAGAACTATGAGACAGGCCATGTTCTGCACTGCACTTTGGTAATCTCTCACATTGGTGTGACCCATGTTTATTTTGATACGATCATTGTGCAGCTTGAGGGACACGGCACTGGCAGCTGTTGTGGATATTGCAATAAGGATTGGTTGGGAAGTCACTGCAAGGACAACGTTCATGAATTTCAGCCTCAGTTTGTAAGGTTCTGAGGTCACATCAGTTGAAGTGATGGTTGAGTTTTTGGATAATCCCTGAGTGAAAATATATAATGCAATAAAACTCTCCAACAGAGAAGAGGTGATCGCAACGAATATCAACAGAGGTATCATTCTGTCTATCTTCATCTTCATCCATGCAAGAAATGAGGACTGGAACTGAAGGATTTTTATAGAATAGAAGAAGCACAGGTCAGCAGTGAGCCAGGAGCAGGAGATAATGCTGCAAAAAGTTAAATAGGTTAAAATGCCTGAGAAGTCGGTTACATTTGATGATGGCCAAAATAAGGTCATCAGAAGGTTCACAGACATCAAAATTGTGAAGCTCATGTTGGAGACATTCAACACAACAAGGATATTGTTGTAGGGTGCAATATTTGTCCCTTTAAAACGGGAAAGGAGGATAGAAAATATTATAAAGCCATTCGAATACAAGCCAACGATGGCCTCCAATGCTATGATACCGAGACAAACCTCAGAAACTGGGCTGTTCATTCTGTTCTGATGAAACACGAACCCTAGTATTCCCAAGAGGCCTCAAGAGTTTTGTGTGAGCAAGTGTTCCTCAGTTGTGTCTTCTTCAGAGAGATGTTCCATCTGCTTTAGACTCAAAGATCATCATGTTATCTACTCTTCAATGATCATGTAAATGACCCCTGAAGAATCCACCCATCAGATGTCACCGTTTACTCACAACCATTATCATTTACGTGACCATTTAACACAAATGCTTCTAATAGATTGAATTTGAATGCATGCAAAAGATTGAGCAATGAGCTGGAGAGATCGAATGACTGAATTCAAATACAGTATGCAGAGAACCATTAACCCGACGACTGTCATTCTATATGTGGCCAAGAAATATAGAACATAAGACACACCTGTCAGCCTAGTCAATCAATAACTCTCCTTTTATTTATTCCTTTTATGTATCCTAAAAGATGAAGCAATACAAGCTTAAAGGAGAACTATGGGGTTAGGGCTTTTCCCCATAGTTCTCCCCAGGGTCACAGGAGGACACAAACTAGCGTCCTCACATCACCCAAAGCTCAGTATATAGGGAGCTACAGCTCGCTGTATACTGAGACGCCGCAGCTGAAGGGGATCCCGACAATTATGTCTGGATCCGCCCAGCTGCGTGAGTGACAGCTGGCTCTGCCTATCTAGAGGCAGAGCCAGCTGTACCTGCCCCAGTCCCTCCCCTGTCAAGGCAGAGAGCCGTGACATGATCGAGTAGTGAGCGAACGCCGGTATGTGTTTGCTCACTTTCAGATCTACTGAGCCGACCTGTGACAGTTTCATTGTCACAGGTCGGCTAGAACTATGAGGTGAGTGAAAAGCCCCTCCCCCTCATAGTTCTCCTTTAAACAACAACTACATTAGTATATTATTGTATAATGTAACAATATAAAGAATGTTTAGGGTTCGCACACCAGCTATTCTCCGCTAGGGTCCTACTGGTCGCCATTTTCCACTGACCACCAACATAACAGGCCGTTACAATTTTTACCATCTGATTTCTCTCCTCTTATTATTTTCACTTCATTTCAATGTTATAACTGTAAATAATTTTGTTGATAACAGCCGGTGAATGTTAAAAAAATATCTGTCCTGGATGTAAAATAGTCTAGGACATCACATGGCTTATTCTTTAATTTACTAGCAGATCAAGTTATGTTATGTGACCTGTTGATATAATAATGTTGAGCAGAAGTTCTCCTGGATCTGGAAATTGTTTCAAGAGTTCCATTTTGGAAAAATGGTGAAGGAACACATTGTCCTATACAGTCATCCTGAATGTAGGAAAAACTTTATGATTTACACGGACAATGTACTATTCTGACAAATTTACAATTCAACAATAGTGTTATAATCAGGGCCGGATTTCCTACAAGGCCAACCAAGGCCCAGCCTTGGGGCAGCAGGGAGTAGAGGGGTAGCAGGGGTGGGGAATTCCTATCTCCCGAAGCCCCGGACATACAGATCTGGGGGCCAGGCGGGTAGTTGTTTTCTACATTTAGCCCTGCATTGGGCAAGCAAAGCTAAATGTACAGCGTGGAAGCTTCCGCTTGTTTTGTAAAAGTGACACGGCGATGTCGCCGAAGTCACCTGTATGCAGCCTGCAGGTCTGCCATTCTCCATTGGGGTTTGGCGGGCAGGGGGGTGCATTGAGGAACCTGGCCTTGGGGCAGCAGAGAGAGTAAATCCGGCCCTGGTTATAATGGGTTTTGGAATTATCACTGGATTCATTCACTAGTGGTAAACACTCCCCAAAATGGCTAAGCTGAGGTCTCTGATGTGACCAACACAAAGGGACTGCTGCCGGATTTACATTTGATGAAACTGTAGCACGGATGTAAACAACCAAAGGTGGACAAAAGCACACAAATGTCAAAGTGAGGGGGACAGAGTTGGGAACTATGGAGAGGAGATGTCAATTGATGGAGCCATCAAACCAGCAAGGAAAAGAAGCCAGCAAAGAAAGGAAACCACTGAGTAATTTCAGGATCAGCACTACACCTACGATCACAATATCACTCCCGTGCTGTCTGACATTTACATTTTGAGTTATTAATAACATAAAAAACAAGAATTCAAACTTTATCTTCAGTAAAAGAATATATGTTTTGGTTAGAATGGTAAGAGTTAGAGCTTTTGTCAGGAAGTGAGAACAATCTCTCCTATGGAGGCCAAGACATCAATAGAAGTATGTTTAGTAGAGCGGGGAAGGGTTAGAAGCGTCTGTCAGGTTCCCAATCGCTGCCTCTCTCCACATTGGAATATTCCCCTCACTTCTTGTATGGGAGCTAAGGTTAGACAAAAGTGATGGATGGTTTCCCTAAATGGAAGACATCAATAAAACCTGGAAAATGTTGTAATCTGTTTTCACTCTACCTAAAATAAAATATAAAAACCCAACAGCATTGTTTTTGATTGGCCAGCTCATCATACATAATACAATGGCTGGTAGAATGTTCTTGTCTGGATGTGTGGCAGATGATGGAGATGAATTAACTCCAACGTGTGCAAACCCTACTACATATACGCATAGTATGATAGATGTCCTCCTTATATCTTGGGTTACCAAGAATCAGAAGAATAGACTGGACAGGGCTGAAGAAGAACTGAGCAATTTGAAAGAAATCTCCATAGTATGAAAATGAATCATTTAAGCAATAAGCAATAACCGATATCAAATAAAAGAAAAAATACAAGACCAAAAGCTGGACCATTGTTTTCACCACTCTTTGTACTTTCACGTTGGTTCTGCCAGAGGGGGTGACGTTCTTGCCCGTCCTACAAATATGAACGATGAGGGAAAGGGCATTACGAGCTGTGATGACCACTGAGATCAGCAATGACACAAACATACTGACATATAAAATTGTCCTTCCGGGGTGGGAATTATCTCCTAATGTGTCGAATAAAAAGGAGACTGAGATGTTGGATGATTGTTGGGGAGGAACTTGAGTCATTTCACTGAAGAAGCTACTACCGAGACAGAGAGCTTCAATGACCAGGATCATCCACGGAATTAGGACATCAATCTTCTTCTTCAGTGTAAAGTGTTGTCACAGCGCTAAAGGTTTGAGATAAATATGAAAATATGTGAATATATATAGATCAAAACATGAGTGACACCCTGTGTGTAAGTCTTCAAAAAAACCTACCAATAATGAATATAAAGTACCATAAAGGACTGAAAAAGTGCTGATGTGCAAACAATCAAAAGGAAAGCTACATTCCTCAATAGGATAAGTGAATAAATGTAACAGGATATCACACTATAAAAATATTAAAAAACAGATTTTTTGTTGCAATCTTCTTCTTCAGCAGGGACAGGAAGGAAGACTTCAACTGGGTGATCTTAATGAAATAAAAGAAGCACAGGCAAGTAGTCAACCAGGAGCAAGATGTCCTGCTATAAATTACGAAGGCATTTATGGTGCACACCGTATACACGTCGGGGTTAAAGGGAAAATATGATGCGGAAGCAGAAGTAAATGTCATTATTAACAGGCAGATGTTGGAGCAGCTTAGAGACAATATTATTTTATCTCCTGTACTCATTCTTTGTCCTTTAAAGATGTCTTTTAAGATTGTGCCTACAATGAAGAGACCAGAAAACATCCCAATACACATTTCAAAGATGATTACAGAGAAAGAAATCACAGCACCGGGATCCATGGCGAGGAGATGACCTTTCTTTAGATGTTCTTCAAACCAAAGAGATCTTATTATTGATGTTCCCCGGTGCAGCTCTGTTCAGTATAGATATCTATTCTCTGCTGACCATCGGAAGGACTGACTACCCCTCTGCAATAACTGAAGACTGCGAAACCGAGATGGCAGATGTCCTATAATACCGGACTTTCCATATATTCAAACTCTAGAGGCGTATATGTATACACAGGTTTCCTCATGCAAATAATACATAGAGTGGATATTGTTAGGTGTTTCTATATGTTGTATTCTTCTTCTGATACTCAGTGTTACATCCAATGTACGTTCACTTTACAACCATCCTTATGATATGCCCTTTGCTGTCAGAGACCTGGCATTGGTTTTTAATTCAATCCAATTGAAGTTTAATGCCTTTTTATCTCTTTCACCAGCGTATTGCACAGCATAGAAGAGCTAAACCCGCAGGTCAGGATTCAGCAGTGTACCTACATCTAAAGGAAAAAGGTCACTCCTCTGAAGACAGTCAAGTACGCATTATAGGCAGGGAGGAGGACTGGTTTAAAAGAGGTGTGAAAGAGGCCATTTATGTAAAAATGGAGAAACCAAGCTTGAATGGAGGTGGGGGGGCATCCATTGTCTGCCACATACAATGCCCTATTGTCTGCGTGGGTTAATAATACCTGCTAGCTCCTATTATGTAAATGCCATTAACACCTTACCCCCATGAGGTCTATGACCCCATGCTGGTTATGGTTAACAGATTATGTGGATTGGAGCAACATCTACATCTCTTCATAGCCCCACAAACTGGCGACAGGGAGTCATGGGAATATTTGATCATACAATAACTGACTTGCTGGAGGAGGTTGATCTCGGTCATGAACAAGCATTTCTCATCTCAGATATTGAGGATGAAGAAGCGAGCTTCATGACCAAAGAGGGACGGTACATCAGGCAGGGAAAAGCAAGAGTCAAAACGGGGGAAAAAAACACATTTTAATCTTAATGTTTGTGTGTTTTTATTTATTGAGTCAACAGAAAATGAATTTATTTTTGCTAAATAATATTGCTGAAAGAAAGTTTTTTTATTCACAAACAAAAACCAATCTCTGTATCACTTTTATTGTCTTCACTAATGGCAAAGTTATCTCCAGAAATAGCAAAAATAGAAAAATTGCTCTAGTCTATAAGGGGTGTACAGGTATGGGAGCTGAAGTGGTTAAATATAATAAACAATAATATAAAGATATGGATATTTAAAGTGACACTAAGCTCAGGAGTAAAATCTTAAAAACATATTTAAGGACCTTAAGTATTAACAACAATGTATCTTATTTGTGTATGACTCGGCTGTAGATCCTCCAATCATCTCTGAATTGGTGCTGACACTGTCCTTCCTTCTGGAGGGGGGCTACTTGTGTTCCCCATGGTCCCTGTGTGTGTTGTAATGTAGTCACCGCTCCAAGCTTGCTGCCGGAATGGACTACAATCTCAATACAAAACAGTAAACTAAACTTGAGATTGTAGTCCATCCCGGGAGTGAGCTTGGAGCGGTGACTACAACACACACATGGGGAACAAAAGTAGCCCCCCTCCAGAAGGAAGGACAGTGTCAGAGATGATTGGAGGATCTACAGCCGAGTGATACACAAAAAAGATACATTGTTGTTCAGAGTTAAGGTTGAGCTCTGAGGGAACCGAGATTGAGCTCTGAGGGAACCAAGATTGATCTCTGAGGGAACCAAGATTGATCTCTGAGGGAACCAAGATTGATCTCTGAGGGAACCAAGATTGATCTCTGAGGGAACCAAGATTGATCTCTGAGGGAACCAAGATTGAGCTCTGAGGGAACCAAGATTGAGCTCTGAGGGAACCAAGATTGAGCTCTGAGGGAACCAAGATTGAGTTCTGAGGGAACTGAATTATACTGTTTTTAAACAATTTGAACCAGATTTTAAAACAAAGATGGCAAATTTCAGTCTATTATTTTTTTAAAGTTAATGTAATAGCAATATCCATTGTCCATATGTCCCACCATCAGCCTTGCTTGGTGTCCCTCCATTTACTTGCTGTTGTCCATCACTCGGCCCTCTATCAGATTTGTTGCTTTCAGGTGATTACAGTTTCCTGAAGACAAACACATCCGAAAATTTCCTTCCAGGCGGCCTTCAGTCTGGTGTTGGCCAGAACAAGGAGGACAGACTGAAATGGGATAAAAAAGAGTTTAGAAGAAGAAGCCATAACCAAAATCCATTTTTCATTTTTTCATCCTATGACCGTGCTTCTTCAGGGTCACCACCGTGAACAAAGGGGTGATGAACACCATCAAAAATGGAAGAATAGTATTAATAATTACAGTGTTGACAAATGTTGTGCTTGATTGTGAAAGCGTAGAGATCACAGATGGAGAACTATTGGTGGAATTATGAGAAAATGTTTGAGAGAAAATGAAGAACAAGCTGCTTAGGACGCTGTTGAACAGAGACAACAATACACTCACCAGGACCATCCGCAGGACAATGGAGCTGATATTCTTCTTCTCCAAGGAAACACAACCTGACTTAAAATTGGAAATTTTAATGAAATAGAAGAAGCCCAGACTGGCTGCAAGCCATGCACAAGAACTGATCGTACAAAGCAACAGATAGATAAATATATATATGGCATTCAATGTGGTGAAGATTCCAAGGCTGCAGAAATGATCAAGCAAAACGACCGACATCAAGATACTATAGCACACACTGGAGGCGGCCAAACACACCAGGATTTTGAAGCTGCTGCTCACCGTTTTTGTTTTGATAAAATCACGATAAACTACAAATATAGTAAACGCATTCATTAGCATGCCAGCGTTTATCTCCAGGGCTAAAATGATCATAAAAGGCAAGCGGCTCTGTGTGTAACCTTCAGGACTCATCATGACACAATTGTCTCCTTTCCTTTTCTGCTTTTTTAAGATTCAGAGTCCAGATTGGATGGTTAAAGATTTCCTTAAGATGTGTTGAAGCCAAATGTCCATTCTATGTGAGAGTTTTGTCCTGGGGAGTCTCGGAGAACTGCGATCCTCAGTACTGTCAGACCAGCTGAACATCTGTATGACAGTCATGTACGCATAGCAGGAGGACAGATGGTGGAAATACCTGAGAGACCTCACGTCCCATCCATCAAGTTAAATGCTCCTGTGTGAGGGTCCATCATTTAAATCCATGCAAAGTGTTCAGCTCTACAATTACTTCTGTTGGAAGTCTGAATATATGATAACAATCATTATGCAAAAATGATTTCCTGCACTTGGTCTTCATTCTGGACCTGTCAGGTTTGTGGAGAAGGTCTGTACAGTCATTGTCATAAACACTTTGTCTCAGTTATCTATGGACCCATCAGACATTTATATATTTCATGATATGTTCTGTAATGATTGACCTCCAACAAGCCATGCCAATTTTTGTAAAAGTTGTCCTTATCTAAGAAGAAGCAAAGTAATTTTGTAATGAATATTAAAGCTGGAAGAGGATGTCTAGCCTTGGTGTGTCCATCGACTATCATTTATAACCTCCACTATAACTAGCTCTTCTGATGGGCAGTCACACTGTTTTACGTAAGCCTTGAAGTCCTGGCTGCTTCTGGAGAGGATTATTCACTCTCAGATTTTGAATTCTGGCTTCATCTTTTGTTCACAAGTCTTTTGTTCCAGTATAAACAAAATCCTATTGTTCTATGATCCTCTGATACCTCTTGATGATTATATTTCCATCTCTCTCTCTCTCTCTCTCTCTCTCTCTCTCTCTCTCTCTCTCTC